CCCCAGGCCTTCTCCTCCACTTTCCCTTCTGTGTGAAAAACATCTTAAATCCAGGACTGGATTTAATTGGGGTCAATTAAATAGCTGTTAAATATGTCCTTGGTGAAGGCGGAAGGTGTTTTAAGCAGCTGAGATGTTACTGGTTTTGGGCTTTACTCTTTGAGGCTGGATCACCTCTCTGTGGATTGATGGTATTCGTTGTTCCTTCATGGATGTTACATTATATAGGTAACTTAAGGAATTAGACTGATGCCTGCAGTTATTCCAGCTTTGGAACTCTGTGTATTAGCCATTAGATGACCATGATTTTTTTTTTTTTTTTACTATCCTATTATATATAACGTAGAGACAAAGTTCAATTATTTGTGCAAAGATCAGTACAAAATTAAGAACTTACCTTAGGAAAACAGTAATTTGTGAAATGCCATGTTGGTGCTTCACGCCGACAGGAATCTGTCAGATCCCTGATACAGGTTCCACCCTCCGCTGGGAAACCTGTAATAGAAAACATGTTTTTCAGTGTATTTATTTCTTTGAGATTCTTGCTCAGACATCTTCTATCCAGGCTGGCAGGGAGGAAGGATAAAGCCCTGCTGTATTAACAAGTGCCTTGTAGTTTGGACTCATGCCTAGGAAGTTCCTGACTGGTGGGAATAATTTATATTTATGGGAGATGAACTTAGGAACTTCCTATATGTACTTAGGAAACCTGACCTGTAACCTGCTACCAAAAAGAGCAAGTGAGAAAATATGGAAGCTATGTTTTCTTAATAATTACTCATAATCTTCATTCCACTGCACATTGTGGACTTTTTATTAGAGGAAAACACTGCCGAACCAACCAGCAAGTGACCTAGAAGGGGAGAGGCATAGGAGGCAGTTTTTCTTAGCCCTTTCTGGCTGTCTGAGAGGCTCTTTTAAGACATTCCCAGCTTTGTGGCAGTATTTCAGAGGCTGGCACGCAGAGTGGGGACGCGCTACCTGGAGGGACATAGAGACAACGCTTGGAAGCGCGGGGTGAAGACGGGACAGCCAAACTCAGCACAGATGCAATTAGCTGTGAGAGCCGTAGAGCACCATGGTCCCTAAACCCAAACTGTTGCGTGCTTTCTTTCCTGCGGCCCTTACCATCATGGGTTTGTTGTGCAGCGTTCCCCCCGCCCTTGTTAAAACACTAGGAGGAGCCAAGACAGCTACGCCTGCACACAAAGAAGTGAAATGGAAAATGCTACCTCCAAATCCATTTGTGGTTTAGCCTGTTTGCCAAAAAGCTTATTTCCACCCCTGACTGCATGGGAGGGGGGACCCATTATGGATTTTCATTTCTCTCCTGAGTTGCTATGCTGCAATCACTGGTCCTGTTGGCAGTGTAATTCAGAATTCACAATCTTTGCTGCCTAGATGAAACCTTTCCTGTAGTGCTGCCGTTCTCCTCTCCTTCTCTGAACTCTTACTTGCTGGTGACTTTGTGAATATTCATTATGTGCCTGTTTTGTTGCAGAGGATGTTGATACATTAGTTTGTCTTGACTGATGCCCTTGACTTTAGAAGATAAATAGCAAAGTAGAGATAGGTGACAAGGGTTGATTAGCAATCCAGCTTCTAAGCCAAAACATAAACCCTTGTAGATAAGCCAGTAGCTAAATAGCCTGCAGCATGCACCTTGGTGGAATTAAGGACATGTTTTAAGGTGCAAGAGGAGTTTTCCTTGTCTGCCGAGATAAAAATCTTTATTTGATGCTTCCTGTGGAAGGCTTTTATGTTCATCAACAGTTCGCTTCTCAGAGAATGAGTTTCCTAGCCTTGAAGGAATAATCACACATTCCAGTAATATAAATTAGTAACTCTTAAAAAGAGTGCAAATTATAATTTGGATAGTGGAAGGTACTTGGGTTAAACTGAGCTTGAACAAATATAACTGTACATTTGTGGGAGTTTGAACTAATATCTTTGCTGCAAAGTTGGGCTGTTTCAGATAATGATCCTTCAGCCTGGTGAGGAAAGAGTAAATAGGGACTGATCTGTCCCATCGCTTGTGAGAGATGGTCAAAGCACAAGCTGAATGAAATGCTGCTTTACTGGCAGCTAAGTGGTGTGGCTCTATGCCAGAGGCTATTTGGTGTCCTAAATACATGTGGATGCAACAAACAATTAGACAAATTCTTAAATGTAAAATCCATTTTGGAATGGTGTATGCAAAGGGCCTGCAGGCAGTCTTTAGGAACCATAAATTGCGGGGAGACCATGCCAAAGGGATCCTGTCAGCTCCCTGTGTGTATCTGTCATGGGCGTCTGCTTTCGTCAGGTCTCTAGTGACACCATGGTTGGTCACTGAGATGACCAGGAGTTATCATACCCTAAAAAACTAGAAGAAGGTTGTCACTGCCACCAGAAGAGATTGTCACACACCCTGTCCCCAGCTGTTAGGTCCTGCTGCCCTGTCCCCCGTGGCAGCGAGAGCCAAGGGAAGGACAGTACGAGAAGCAGCAGCAGAACCATCTCTACTGGTAACAGTGTCAGCTCAGGGGCTTGTAGAATTTTGTAAAGATGTGAGAGCATCTTCCTAAAAAATGCCTTTTCGTAGGCAGTAACCCTGCTGGAGGGGACAGCGATGCACCCCATGACCAACCACCGTTACCTGGTCCCCTGAGGATGTAGCATATTGTAAGGATGAGTGGTGCCCCCAAGCCTCAGCATGTTGCTTTTTGGCTGAAGTGCAGACCATTTCTTCATTCGTCTCTAGAGCTTCGTGTGAGTTTTGACGCAATTGAAGAAAATGCATAAATGGATTTAAAAATCAGTGAAGATTAAATTTCACGCTCAAACTGAAGTGATTTCCTGACGAGCAGTCTCTGATACCCTAGCCTTACTGAGCAGCATCTGGTTTAGCTTTATACTTCAGCTACCCTAGCCCTTCAGATGATTTCTTTTGTTCCTTCTGCCCTATCTCCTTAACTGGGAGGGTGTGTGTGGGAAAATAAATCTCCAAACCCCCAAAATCCTCCTCAGACCGTGTGGATACCGCAAGTATGGGGTGCTTCGGCGTACGCAGACCTGCCGTCAGCACGTGCTTACCAAGGAGTGCAGGACGTTATACCTAAGGATTTCCTTGTGCAGTCTGTGGGCCTTCAGCAGGGCTGTGGTGTGAAAGGGTAGTTACTCAGGCTTCACAAAAAAACAGGGTTACTGAAAACTGTGTTGTCCGAGTTTTTGGGAGAATTTAGGAATGGATCTCCGGTTCTTCATGCCTTGGCTAAGGCATGTCGAGTGAACCACTGCACCTTTCGAAGCCATTCTGCTCTTGTGCATCTCTTCCCTCCTGGAGACAGTTTGCTGCCAGGATTTATGCTGGCAGTAAGGTTGTCCTGTCTGATTTCCTTGTTTCCTTACCAAAAAGGGAGGAGAGAACGAAAGCCCAGCACAACGCGTGCCTGCATAGCTAAGAAGGAAGGAGTCAGCTATCTGCTACAGCTGACTGTGCCCGTCAACAAATCACTCACATGGTTATCACATTCTACGTTTATGCAGTGCAAATAACCCAGAAATCAGGATCAATAAAGCCTGCAATAAAAGAAAAACTGTTACTGTCCCCAATGATGCAAACAGCCTCTTCATCCTATGACCTCATTCCACTTGCATTTCCCTGGTGCGTTCTGTGCCAATGCTTTCTGGGCGTGCTGGGGTGGGGGGGGGTGTTGGGGTTATGTTACTTTGAAAATGAATTGTGTACAAAATTTCTCTTTTCAGTTGTATATGAGCACAGGTCAAGATTAGAAAAGTCATTACAAAAGGAAAGGCTTGAACATAAGAAAGCGAAAGAAGGTAAAAACATGCTTTTCACTTTTGACGTTTAATGTAACTTGATTCTTTTAGAAAGTAACTTCAGATGTGTCTTGTTCCATTTGAAACGAGTTACCGACCTAGAGCGCGTTAGCAGGCCCACCCTGGCAGATCTGTGGGGGTCTCTTAAGTACGTCTTCCTAAATAATTAATTAAAGCCTCGTACTTATTAAAAGTAACCATCTTTTCAGTGCTGCTCACAGCTCCCTGCAGCATGGCATAGGATACATGGGGAATACGTGTCTATCGATGTGGAGTTACGGGCACGAGTAAATCCTGTTCCAACACGCTAAATATGTAAAACTGGTGCCAGAAACATGGGCTCTCTTACTGTGCTCCATCAGTGTGAAATTACACTCAGTGTTTTTACACACGCTTAAGGGTAAACTTACCTTTTTCTGATTAAAACTAGGTTCTAGGTGTGTGTGAGGGGAATGTTGGCATACACTGTATTTCTTCCACATCTGCCCTCTATGAAACTTGAGCAGAATGCCATCTTCTGAGTCTTTTGTTGTTCTCAATTCGCCACAGTTTTCAGAGTAAAGCCTGTATGCTTCCTAAAAGTGAGAATTCAGCCGCTGACTTCAAGAAACTACTTCAGTATTGAGGAGGTGTAAGAAACCACGCTTACTGTGCAGTTCTCGGTAGCCTTCTGGTGCCATCTAGTGCCCAGCTGTCCCATTGCTATGCAGAGAGGGGTTGGCTTTCGCAAATCCTGAAAAGATCAAGGAACAAAAGTGGAAATGTTTGTTTTATTTAGGCTTTCACACTTCTTAAAGCCCCTATTTTTTAATCCTAATACAAGAATACACAATTTCTAAATGTCTTTTCCTTTTGGATGATGCTACTGGGCCTCTGCTGTGAGGGAGTTCATGTAAGAGCTTTAATTACCCACCCGAGTCTTGAGCCTGAATGTCACACTAAGATAGGGAACTTTTATTTAAAAATACTTAATGAAATTTTAAAATGAAAATGTTTTTGTCAAAATTTGGGCATTGTATTGAATTCTCTATAGTGTTTTATTGAAGATCTTTTGGAAAATTGTAACTCCATAGGTATTCAGCTCCTAAGAGAATTTATGCATGCAACAGTTATGTTATTTAAGTACAGATTCTAATCTTACTGGGGTTTTAATCAGTATTTTTCTTTCGATGTTGTAGATTTTCTTGTTTATAAACTAGAAGCACAGGAAACACTAAATAAAGGAAGGGTAAGTAATCATTCCTAGTACAAGTTTCTAATAGGTGATGCTATTTGAGCTGCAAGAAAAAGAAGTGCTTTGCAATTATAGCTGCTCAAAGAGGTCTCATGAAGTACTAATTGACAGAGCGCTCACTTACTCAACTTCTGCTCTGCGTGCGTAAGTGCTCCGCAATTCCTAATTATTTGAGCTGTAATAGCTGAAATATATTAGCAGATCCTAATATATTTCCAGAAAATTAATTTAGAAAATATCTTCCTGTTTATATTATGGTAGTTCAAACCTAATGTTACCTTTTTTAAAGGGAAAGGGGACAAATAAATAAGGTATTAGAAATCTTTTTGTAGCTTAGTCCAGAGGGAAAAGGACAGTGGCAACTTTCTAACGTGGTTTTTGAACTGGAAAGCATAAAAAGTTCAAGAAACTGTTTTATATACCAAGTGCCAGAAGGAAAGCTCTGTCTAGCAAAGGACCCAGAGACCTGTGAGAACTCTTCATAAAAAGCGAGTAAATTAGGAATTTATGGCTACTTCATGGTGAAACTGGGGAGCAGTTTCTGAGCCGAGTAGCCCAAGTTAAAATACGCTGTTGCTGCAGTAAGTGCAAAGCATTTGTGCTTGGGATGTTCCAAAGCACGTGGAGAGATTGTTTCCTGGAGAGCGATTGTCCCTTGGCTTGCAACTCCTAAATAATAACTGCATGCGCAGGGGTCGGAGAACGACGGCGGTGTTGTGCTTAACGCGGGTGGTTTTGTCTTGCAGCAAGACTCCAACAGCCGGTACAGCGCACTGAGCGTACAGCACCAGATGCTGAAGGTAGGTAACACGGATCCAGTTTCAGAGGACGCTGGCATTCTGCCGTGTCGGGGAGATGCAGCCTCCCTGGCTTCTGGAAATTCACTCCAGAATATCAGTACGCCCATGGTGCCTTCCTCTTACAATAGTGCTGGTGAAAGGTGCTTTACTGCAGCTTATTCCAGCCAGGCTTTCCTGGGCGTAATTTAATCTTACCAAATGCCATTACTTGTATGGGTCACCGACTTATCAGACTTGTAGGGTTTGGCATGCAAGGAACTTCACAGCCAACTTCAGCAGCTCCCAGTGGGACAGGGCAACTGCAGGGGGAGCTGATGTAGCCCTAGAACAGGAGCCTACTCATCACAGAGATCATTTGGTGTTTGAGAGGAGTTGCAATATGCGTGCTTTGAATAATAAACCTCTTGTTCCAAATGCTTCCGATTCATCTGGACTTACTTAACAAATTGCCAAAGACAATATTAGCCAGATACACAGAGACAGAACTGTTCCAGTGTCCAACTTGGTGTTTGCAGAGTCAACACGAAGAACTGAAGAAACAGCATGCTGACCTTGAGGAAGATCACCGAAAACAAGGAGAAGAGTTCAGCAGAACGTTCAGCGATCACTTTGGAAAAAGAGCAGGAGATCTCTAAGCTGAAGGGTATGTGCAGCCCGGACCTGGCTCCCCATCTTCAAACGTGTGTTTGTCGTGGTGTTTTGTGTGATGGGAGACAGAAGGGCATTGTCTCTGGTCTCGCTAACAGCTCATTTGTGTACCTTGCGCCTCCTGATGAGTTACATCTTCCTGGTTATTTTCTGTGGCCTCTCCCTGGAATCTGCTCGTGTGTGCGCTGCGTGTTTCTACGTTAGAGAAAGGGTAAGAAACGCAGCACTTGAGCCCGTCGAGCAGCAGTGGCTGGTTTATCCAGTCTTTCATTTTTCTTCTAAGACTTGTATAAACCTGGAAAAATTGATTTGCTCTTTACTCTTTTTTGTCACTGAAAGGCAATCTGAGAATGTTTGCCGCTTGGTAAAGAGCACAATTAAATCTCTGGTAGAAGTGACTCTATACACATTGCAGACCTCGTTTTCTCTAGATGTGTCAGCTTCTCTGAAACACGCTGCACCTGTACACTTGGATGATAAAGTATTCCGTAGTTACTCTTGGCATCCAGTTTCCTATTAAAGAGATTCTTTGCAGTTTGCAGACCCCTTCACTCCCAGTTACACAACTGCACAGAACAAAAGGATGGGGCTGTCCCCATCGAGGGCCTTCAGCCACTTCCTGCCATGTGTCACTACCACACGAGTGAGTCCTGGAGCTGTCTGCAGCTTTGTCTGCACAGAGGCTGTGTTTATGAATTCCGCCTTGGCACCACACCACTGAAGTCATACAGCTCTTGGACTGAGCTGGATTGCAGCCTAGCAGCTTGGAGTGTGGGAAGAGCTTGCCTGCGTCTGCTTGCAGTATTCCACATCAACATAATGTAAGGAGTGGGAAGAGAAGCCCCTCTCCCTGGTCCCAGAACGTAAAGCTTTTTAAGTATGCTGGCCATCTGGGCACCTCTTCCAGAAGAATAGCTTAGTCCTACCACATAAAATTCTCACTCACCAGATGCGATGTGGGGGAAGAGAGGAGTGTGGCTTCTTCTCTGCATCCTAAAGGTTCAGATTACCATAATGAAGTTTGCTGTCTGCAGTCCCCAGCAGGAACAGTGATGTGTAATTCCAGTTGCAGACTGGGTGCACTAATACAAAATCTAACCAAATGTCACGGAATGGTTTGGGTTGGAAGGGACCTTAAAGACCATCCAGTTCCAACCCCCCTGCCATGGGCAGGGACACCTTCCACTAGACCAGGTTGCTCCAAGCCTCATCCAGCCTGGCCTTGGACACTTTCAGGGATGGGGCATCCACAGCTGCTCTGGGCAACCTGTGGCAGGGCCTCCCCACCCTCTCTGGGAAGAACTTCTTCCTGATATCTAATTTAAACCTCCCCGCTTTCAATTTAAACCCGTTACCCCTTGTCCTGTCACTACAGACCCTCCCAGCTTCCTTGAAGCCCCTTCAGGCACTCGAAGGTGCTATAAGGTCTCCCCGGAGCCTTCTCCTCTCCAGGCTGAACACCCCACCTCTCTCAGCCTGTCCCCATGGCAGAGGGGTTCCAGCCCCCTGATCCACTCCAACAGGTCCATGTCCTTCTGCAGGGGGAGTCTCCTGAGAGTGGAGCAGAAGGGGAGAATCACCTTTTAAAATTTTTACAATTTTCTGCTTGAAAATATGAGGCTCTTTATAGGGCTGGGGAGAGATGTAACACACAGGCCATACAGTTACTCAAATCCTTTGCAGCTGTGTCAGATTTTATGTAGTTTGTGTTATAGTCTTAATTTTGGTGCCTAATCTGGTGGTATAAATCTGACTGGGTTTAAATTCTGTGTATCATTTCTTTTCAACAGAATCCCTGTACAACTTGCGGGAGGAGAACAGACAGCTGAGAAAAGCTCACCAAGACATTCACACCCAGCTACAAGATGTCAAGGTAGGCTTTGCTTTGAGGAGAACTTTCAAGACGGTGAGGAAAACGAAAAGTTTTCCCAAGTGTTCAGAAACCAGAAACGGGCTGTGCTGAAGGCCTGCAGTCTCTGTTCGGTGGCAGAGAGGAAAGGAATACGGCTGAGCTGGATTTCTTGTCTTTTTGCCACCTGCACTTTCAGTCCGTACTCATTTGGCAAAAGAAAACCAAACCAAAGAACTGGAAGAGAAGTATTCAGTACAGAAATTGGAATTGGAAATTTGACTTTACAAGTTAAGAATTGTGTCTTGGCAAACTAAATTTGCTGAAATGAATGTTTCCCAGCTCTGTTTTTTAAAACATTCATCAATAACTACTCCAACTTTTAATTTTATTTTAGTTACACAAATTCTGGCCTCCAAAATTTTCTTTCCTGGCACACTTGTTTTCTCTGAGTGTTTAGTATGCCACATTAAATAAATAAATGCTGCCATTCCAACTCAGGATTTTCTTTTCGGAACAAATTGAATCCTCTTCCTAGTTCCAAATCCCCCAGGCTACCTAATTTACCTTTAGAATGAACTTTGTGAAACCTGTGATGTTCTTCTCTTTGTGTAGCAACAGCATAAGAACTTACTCTCCCAACACAACCAGCTTGTAGTGACACTGGAAGACCACAAGAGTGCACTAGCTGCTGCACAGGTCAGAAGGAAAGCAGCTTCTGCTGGCTCTAACCTTCCTAAAACTCCTTTCTCCTGGTTCAGCTGAGTGTGACCTTGTGCATGTCGCCTTTCGCATGGGGAGCTGGCAGTTAGCACCACGCTGCACACTGCAGGGACCTGCATGACTTCGAGGGTGGCTCTTCAGAGAAGCTGCAACGAATCATAGGGCTGTTGGAAAACAAAAGGATGCGTTGTAGGCCCAAGACTGCATGTGTTTCTGATACAAAGAGTATCTCTGCTTCCACGAGAGCTGTCGATTACTTTTCTTCTCTGTCTTCTCTGATAGAACTTCTGTTAGTTTAACATCCCACGCTGACGTTCACACGTAACACAAAAACCTGGAGGCTGGCACACTGGAAACTGACCGTGTGTGTGCGAGGTTGATAAGGCTCGACGTCACGGCAGCAGAAGTAGAGTATACATGGAGGAATGTAAACTCCAGGTGGAACTCAGATCAGTTCAAAAGCAGCAGCAGCGTGGCCTTTCTTAAGTGTCATTTCCAAGCGAACTACACGCCAACTCTGCAAGAGTACTGGAGATGCAGCCAGCTGTGCCAGTGCAAGCTGTGTGGGCCACGGGCAGGCTGAAAGCAGTTGTGTTGGAGCAGAGCAAGGCTGTTGGTGAAAGATCAGAGGCAAAGGCAATGAGGCAGTGTGAAGTTATTTTTATTCCTGACTAGTTCTCTTCATTTAAGTATTTTTATGGTCCACAAAACCATCAGCAGCATTAAAAGCGTTGGATCTTCCCCCCCCAGTTCTGCTTGTTGTGCATGTCAATATGTGTAGACATTCAGAAAACTGGGAAAGACCAGGAAAGTCCCTCACAGACTAAATATATGAAGAATCTTAGTTTCCAGTACTGGAATATGCTGGCAGCTCATTTTAAGCTCTTCTCCCACTGGCCACATTAGCCACTTGGGATGTATTTGCTAACATCTGCAGATCCACAAGGGCAGAGGCAGGGTCTGATTTAAGGTTCACCGGATCCAAAGGGAAGCTCCATACACTGCTCCTGGTTTTGATGCAGTTCTTTAATTAGAAAACCCATGTCACACAAAGCCTTTCTAGCTGCAATCTGAATGTGGCGTTTGCCATACAGAGAGCCTTTCCTTCAAGAGAAGGGTGTTGCACATTCCTGAACAGAAGGTGTTTAGCACCGTCACGGTGTTTCTCCTGCAAACCAGCTACAGAAAGTTCCCAAGGGATTACTGCTTAGAAACACGGCTCTAAGTGTATTCTAGACATTAAACATCAGTAGTCAGTCCTGCTCTAATGAATCTGTGACCTGAATCTTTAAGGCATTGGAATCTTTGTACTTTTCCATAGCTCCAACAGCCAGACAGATTCGTAACATATTTTTATAAACCCTGTCTTTCTGCCAGTATTAATACCTTTTAAGCTGCGGCCTTGAATCACAATGTTCAGCTCAGTGACTCGTGCAGCGGAACGGGGTGCTTGCATTCTGATCTGGACGTGCGCTGTTTAAAAATCCTGGTACCTCGCTCTCTATGCCTGGTCAGTGAGTGGGGGAAAACAAATCAGAGGCCCGTGTATTAGTCTTACGTTCAGTAAACACTACTTTTTTCCTCTGAAATTTCTTATTGGACTCTCCAGCAGTTAATCAGGAAGCAGAAGTATCCCTCTGGAATGACGAGAGTAATTACTGTGCGTTCTGCTTTGCTTTTAGGCCCGTCTGTTTTAACGGATGCCATAGTCTTTTGAAGAGGCTTCGAGGTGCGTCTGGCTTCAGAGCGGTTACGCGTTGCATCATGTCAATCTGTAGCACTGTGGATATTGTTTTGTATGAGTATTATGCATTGTATATCGATGCATCGTGCCTGTCTGCTGTACTATTGATTGCTATGATACCACATAACGCACACGTGGCACACGCAGTCACCGAGTGGAAGCCGTAGCCAGTTTTCACGCCAAGTTTAAAAGGATTATGAAACGCACCTCTGCTTTCAAAATGGGTAGTAAACACCCCTGCCGCCTCCATGGGAGCAATGGAGAAGCCCTCTGATGGGGCAGCACCTTCTGCATATGCAGCTGGTCAGCTTTTATAAATCCTGGCCCTCTCAAGAGCTTTAATTTACGAGATAATCTCGTACGTGTGCTGTATAGACAGGGACCGTGTCCCAGCCCGTCTGGAGGCTCAGTCTGGGCCCCAGAGCTTTTTGGAGGTATCCCAATCTTGTACAAAATTGAACAACAAATCAAAGTACAACACTTTACTGTTGCTTTTCACCAAGAATTTAGAAATTCACATTTTTCTCTCTTCCTTTTCTTTTTTTTTTCCTTCTTTTTTCCCTTGTTCTTCACCAACGATGATTTTCTTTGCCTCCGTTCTGTATGTTGGCTGTTGTCTCGTGTAACACCTGTCTGAATGTTGAGGATTTGGCGTTTTCATCACGTGTGTACGTCCCTTAGAGCTGCTGTTTCTGAAAGAACTCTACTTCTTTCTACCAGCAAAGGAGAAGTTGTGGGGCTCTTGATTTCCCTTGCTTTAGTCTGCCAAGAAAACTGCATCATCCCCCTTTGATGATTCTCCTGCTTGGCATGAATAAAACAAATCTTCATCTTTGTCCCACAGAGATGTTTCTAATATATTTTGTATGCATGTGCACTTTGGCTGAAAAGACTGTGATGAATCAATGCTGTCTAGTGCGTGGAAACACCTGATTTTCAAAGCTCCCGTCCCTTCTCCTCCCTGGTATTTGCTCTGAGGTGAATATCGAGGCTTTCTACCACGTGTCTTGCTGGCAGTTTCACCCTGGGGTGACGGTGCTTTATGAAGAAACTCATTTGGACACACGGTAATTAACGTGTTGTCTTCAGTCCCAGGTGGAAGAGTACAAACAGCTGAAGGACACGCTCAACAAAATGCCAAGTTTCCGCCAGCCTGAGCAGTTAGAACGACAGAATGAGCGAGCCGAGGGGCGAGCGCCGTCTCCCCGCAGTGACCCCACGCTGCGCCCTGATGCCGAAGAGCAGGAGGAGGTACGAAGTACTGCCTGGTGACGGGCCCTGCAGGAAACCGTTCATGTGGGGCAAAGGCCGGGTCCGGGCTGAACGTCTGTGAGAAGCGTGTGCCTGCTGGTGCATGCTGGCCGGCTCTTGCGTGAAGCAGTGAGGAACGGTTGCATTGATTCACCATGACCTTTGCTCATACGACTGATGGCACTGAAAACTGGTTACTGTTTTAAGAAGTTGCTAAAAATCTGAATTTTTAGGAATATTGAGCGGTCTCTAAAATTTTAGATCTCTCATGTTACAGAAAAGCTTTAGGGCGTTCTGAAGAAACTGTCTTTTCCTGTGTTTTACAAAGTTTTGGTGTCACCCTTCAAGTCAGGATGTTCCAAGTTGGCACGCTATCTGGTGTTCAAAAAGGAAAAGAGCCAAGTTGTGGGTAAAGTCTAGAAGTTACAAAATCAGCTGTGGTTTTGTTTTACAAGAGTTCTTGGCCAGCAGAACCTGCAGGAAATAAAACCACAAAGCTTCCTTTTGGAGATTTGTAAGATCTTTCTGTCCCACTTCAGATAAGGTGAGGCACAGCCTGGTTTACGATGGGGCTGTACCACACCTCGTGCTGCTGCGCAGAGGCGAGAAGTGGGTGTTGGTAGCGTGGGCAGGAGGGGTGCCTTGTCCCGGAGCAGGTGCTTGGCTCTCCTGACAACACCTGCACTGCCGCGGGCTGGAATAAAGGTGTCCGTATCCGGTCCTTGGCTCTCCTAAAAATACGATGTCTGTGATATCTCGTGCATGTGTAATCTTGTGTGTGTTTTGCAGAATGAGAAGCCAAAGGAGAGAGAAGAAATAAATACCCAGGAGAAAGAAGACAGAGCTGAGCCTTCTCATCTGCAAAGAAGGGCTCACGAGGGCCAGCACGCCAAAGAGCTCAACATCCAGGAGCAACAAGAAGCTGGAGAGGATGATGAGCAGCGAGTTGATCAGGTTGAAGAGGAACGCAAAAAAGAACTTGAAGAAGAAGAAATGGAGCAGGCAGGTCAGCCTGAGCACTTGGAGGAGGAACAGGATCAAGTACCTCAGGAATGGAAAAAACAGGAGCAGAAGGAAGAAGAAACCAACATGTTGGGCGATCGTCTTCATTCAGAGGTATGGAGCTCTCTTCTGCCACGCGGTTAGACTGGCTGTTGGAATGGAGGCATCTCTTACCGTGGCTGGCGCTTATTTCTAGGTAAAATCATATTTATTGAAAATTTGGGATTCAGAGCACTCACTGTTTTTTAGATAAAATTATTGTGTTTATAGAAAACTTGGGATTCAAAGCACTTGGATGCATAGGACTGAGGTTTGACTTTAGCACACGCACTGCAGTGCTGGCCAACAGCAGCTTAATGAACATTAATTCTGCTGATAAAAAGCAACAAGTGGGAAAAAAAAAGGCAGTTGGAGTGAATCCCGTCTCCTACTCTAGATCTGAGGCCAGTGGTAGGTGATGGGAAGGAGCCTTATCCTCAGCACTTTGATGGAGAGCTGTCCTGCCTCACTAATTTGGTGTGTCTCAGCACACCACAGCGTGGTCCCGTGTCGGATACGCCTCCTGCTGTAAACACCCTTCCCTCTACGTGTTCGCTGTCGTTTGACGGCAAGTTCTGCCTACGAGACGAGCACGACTGAAATAGCCGGGGAAATGGGTGCGCAGCAGTGGCTCTGTGCAGCATTAAATAAAAGCAGCAACTCCTGGATTTACATTCCCCATCGGATCTCCAGTGGAAAATACGTTTTACTGATCTCACCCTGGGCTCTGTGACCACGCTGCGGGCAGGTTACGTGTGTAACGCCGCGTGGTGAGGCCGCTGCTGAAGGGGTGCGGTGGATTGGAACTGCAGCGGTAGGTTGGGCTGTGAAACGGGAGTCACTTTAGGGTACTGCTGGCTGTAGAGACTGTGTGACGTCTCCCTTAAGGCTGAACGCAACCCCGACTGAAATTACCAGTTAAAGCCACGGAAACGTGTCTGCTGTCTTTACTGTCAGTCATCAAATCCTCCTTCTACCGGCAATACATGGGGGGGTTATTATTGATGTGTAAGAAGAGCCTGGCTTCTCCAGCCCGTTATCTCCTCTTCCTTCCCCGCGTCCTCCACGAACACCCCCACGCTTCCAGTCCGCGTTAAAGAAATGATTAAGCAGAGAAGACTTAAAATACCTTTGCTGCCATTTGCCTATCGCGTGTAGCATCTGCATATTTCTCCTTGTCACAGGTTCCTGCGTGCTTGTTTGTCATCACTGAAATTATGATTCCTCTGTGACTAACACATTTCTCTGACAGATGACATCGACAAAAGCTGTACCAACACGGCATAAGGCAGCTTACGAACAGCAACTGGAGCAGCAACATCTCGCGGCCCGAAGAGCAGAGGAAGCCAACCAGCTACAGGAACATCAGGAGTCGCTACAGCAGCAAAGACTGCGAGGACAGCTCCTACGGCAGCAGCAGCCTCCAGAGAAAGAGCTTCAGCTGCAGAAACAGGCAGAGCCAGGAGAAAAGCTCTACACCAACCGGCTCAGGTTAAATTCCTTTACATGGTTTGTCATGGGCTGTGCTCTAGGTCTTACGGCTTCCCCCGTGCCACCTTTGGAAAGAGGGTGGTTTAATCCTGCAAACCTCGACTGCCCAGAAACTGCATCCAGTGAGCCTCATCCTCTTCCCAAGGATAAATCTGATTGCTCTTCCAGGGGGCGGTTTCCTTCTTCTTTTTCCTTTTACTATGGAAGCCTCTGAAGCCCGGAGCAGTGAGTGCACACTGCACGTCCTGGGGAGAGCTCTGGCATGCAGTGCCCCTTGTCTTAAAGCTTGCTGTAAGTTAGTAATTATTTACTGCTGAGCAGCACTTTGGATCTTGTATGGAGAAGTCCTGGTATGGGATAGGCATTAAGTACCGAAGCTGAAGTTCCTCTTACAGCTGAGGTGCTGGTTTTAAGTAATTCCACGAGGGCTTTCCGGACAAGGGTGACCAGCATTACCTGCATTGTAGAGGCAGGATTTCAGGAGAAACCAACACTCTGCTAGTGTCAAAGTCATTGTGAATGCAGCTATATTCGTGTTATTGTATCTTCCCCATGACTTCCACCCTCCCTGTCCTATTTTCTTAAGCTCATGCTCAGTTTAAAATCACTAGTGGCCATTTTTGTCTTTTGGAATCTTAAGCCCATAGAATTTTCTTTGCTGAAACATCGAGATACGAATTATTAACTTGAGCATGTTCGAAAAAGATGTTGGTATGAGAGCACCTTTCATAAATCGACAGTCAGAATACTCAGTCCCGCAAGAGCAGCCGCACAAGTCAACCCCTTTCAGGATGAAAGCTAAAACTCCTTATTCAACCCAGTAAGTGATCCCTGGTGTCTGTCTTTAAGACCTTTTATTTGAGAGCTGCTCTGCTTCCAGTTCCGAGTATTTGTGTGTTGACTGTGGAATATGCTGCCTTAGGAGCTCTGAAAATACAGGGCCGATCCAATTGATAGAGAAATACAAGCACAGAAGGTAGTGTAGTAGGTCAAGAAAGTCTTTGTTCTATTCAGTGTATCTCCTTTCAGGAAAGGAGATGTGAACAAGTGTTAGGTAATAGGAAGCTAAACTGGAACTCACTCTGGCAGGAGCTGGGAGAGACAGAGATGCAGTAGGATGGTTTGTTTATTAAAGCAAAACCACCCTTTTGAAACTGAAATGACGTATTTGGGTTTTGGTTTTCTCAGCCACCAGGCTCATTACGATAACGTGGACCACGATATTGTACAAGGGGAAGAAGAGCAAGGCGTTCAGGAAGAGGAAGGAGGTAAGAGAAAACGTGTGTTCCTGCCGTGCTCACGAGTTCCCTGTGTACTGCCTTTCACGTGAGGTTTTAACACTCACTCGTGTACTCGTATCCAGTGTGGATTCACGTGAAATACAAGCTCGCAGTTTAAAACCAGAAGCCCAAGTAGCACTGGCTGAACTGAAGTTAGGAGTTAGTAAAGTTCACAACCACAGTCCTGAAAGGAAAAGCGTCCTTTGACTGGGGCACTAGGATCGGGATTTGCAGGTCTTGGTTACACTCCTGGTTCTGCCTGTGATTTTGTTTGCCCTCTCCACATCACATACTCCTCCGGCATCGGCTTCCTGCTAGCAGTAACTCACTCTGTTAGCGTGGTAGGTCTCGGCAAGCCCTTCAGGTAAAGGCTGCCTTCTGCTCAAAGCAAGGGTGGAAGCTGGTATATAGGGACTCTTAAAAAGGCTGACTAGAAACGTTGTGATACAATAATAATAACCCAAATTTGTCAGCTTACGGACGCGACAACCAGCAGCAGGATGGAGGGGAAGATGAGGATCAGAATAACGCAAATGAGCAGCAAGGCCCAGAACCCCAAGCAGAAGGTCAGCAGGCGGATGAATCGGTGAGTATGAGTTGCGACGCTACGGACCGCGATGGTTACCGCTGTGAAACCCACGCGTCTCGCCTGCCGTAACTGCACGTTACAGAAATGAGGTGAACCAGGGGGCTGCTCGCATCTATGTGAAGTTGTCCTTACTGACGTGGGAAGAAATCAGGAAGTTGCTTTTCCGCATTCCTTTGCTCGGCGCTGTAGGTGGAATAAAGGATTTGGACTTAGCTGGGACCTGAACAGCTAAACTGGGATTCCAGAAAATGACCGGAGTAACTCGCTGCCGGTCAGCCAGAGGCGGTGACGGAGTTTTTTATGCCGTCATTAGTTAAGAGGGTACGAGCCACCTCAGTAGCCCCCGAAACCAGGTCGTGTGGGGTCGGTGCAGAAGCGCGAGATCTTGGAAGAGGACGCGCCTCGGTGCTGAACGCAGCCGCGGTATCAGCTGCGGAGATGGGGCGCAGGAGACTCAGTCCCGTGCCTTCCCCACGCTCCACCTTACGCGGTGGCGTGGAACCGTATCGCCCTCCTCCCCTCGTCCCCAGCGAATTGAGTTGAAGGGTAGATACTTCTATGGGCTCTTTAACTTGTCAGCCGTACAGATATCAGAAGTGCTTTTACTGAATGATGAGCTGAAGGAAAACACTTGTTTTCGGAATGGTAAAGTATGAAAAGTGAGTGCTGTTTCCTCTTAGTTCATTACAGAGGCAGACAGGGTCAGCGTTGCGGGGCAGGCTGGTGCTGAGCGATCACATCAGCTCTTCCCAGCCAGGAGTGTTTAAGCTCTTATCTTTTTTCACCTGGGCCTATCAGGCGTTGTCAGTTGTCAGACAGTCAGTAAACAAAAGGAGTCCAACAGCCTGCGTGAAAGAAGGCAGGGGGTGCAGCGCAGCGTTTAGCAGACACGCGTACGGCCGTCCTGTGACTCTGCTGACTCGGGCTTCTCCAGTGACCCCCGATGCTGCAGAGAGGTTCCAGCTGGTTTCGGTGGGCGTGGAGTTGGCTCAGGGTGGTTTTCAAGTGAGCTGGAATTTGACTGTCAGCTAAAACAGGTATTTAACCTTGGCTTCTGGGAGTTACAGAAGGCAGCTGCGGAAGACGTGAACCCTGCTGATGACCCCAACAATCAGGGAGAAGATGAGTTTGAGGAAGCTGAGCAAGAGCGAGAAGAAAATCTACCGGAGGAAGATGAAAAGCAGAAGCAAACCAGTCGGAAGCAAGGACACCCGGGGATGGAAGAGAACCTGGTGGTCAGTAATGGGAAAGGGGGCCTGTTTGGGGTCAGCGTAGCCCAGCTTGGCGAGAGAACGCTGTCCTTGGGTTTCTAAGAATCATAGAATCATAGAATGGTTTGGGTTGGAAGGGACCTTAAAGATCATCTAGTTCCAACCCCCCTGCCATGGGCAGGGACACCTTCCACTAGACCAGGTTGCTCAAAGCCACATCCAGCCTGGCCTTGAAGACATCCAGGGATGGGGCATCCACAGCTTCTCTGGGCAACCTGTGCCAGTGCCTCCCCACCCTCTCCAGGAAGAATTTCTTCCTGATATCTAATCTAAACTTCCCCACTTTCAATTTGTACCCATTACCCCTTGTCCTGTCACTACAGGCTCTTGTAAAAAGTCCTCTCCCAGTACCCTTGTAGGCCCCCCCCTTCTAAGGATCTCTTAAGCTTTGTGTGATGCGTGCGGGTCAGCGTGCGGAATCGCTGCTGGGGTGCACCCGTGTGTCTCATCGCTGGCTCTGCTCAGTGAGGCTCAGGGCCCCCGCTTTTACCTTCGCACGAACCCCTGCAAGGCCACCCGCCCGTACAACCCTCGTGTGCTTGCACAGAGCCCTTCCGTGCCACCGCCCTGCCACCTGCGCTCGCTCAGCTGCGCGTGGTGGGGCCGCTTCCCTCCTGTGGCCGCGCCGGTGACTGCTGCGCGTTTCCACTCCATTTGAACCGGAAACTCCCGTAGGCAGAGACAGTCTGTGTTTCAGCGGTGTGACTATTGCCTTGTCTTCCTGCTTAGTGTGGCAAGTCTGGCTTCATTCTGTGAAGTGGTTTTATTATAATCACTCTACTGCCTGTTTTTTAACTTAGGGCAGGTTCTAAATCAGGCAGCCGGGCTGTCACTGATGCCAATGAAAGCACAAAAACGTCTTACGCTGTTGTTGTTACTTCAGCTTTACGTAAAGTTTTAGTTCCAGAACGAGAAGCTTTAACCTCCGGTCTCCTAAAGTTAATAGGCATGTCCAGAGAGCTGAATTTTCATATGGTCTTTCTGCAGATGGCAGGAAATCCCGACCAGCAGGAAGATAACGTGGATGAGCAATACCAGGAGGAAGGAGAAGAGGAGGTAAGGAAACAGACGCAAGGCATGCGTGGGCTCGGGCAGCGTAGTGCGTCTCCATCAGTGTTCAGCATCGCAATCTTTTACAACTGCAGAATGAACCCAAATCTCTGTGACTGTGTGAGACCCAGAAGGTCTTTGCCATTACTCTGCTGTCCTCGTGGCTCTGTGCTGCAATCCATTCGTGTTCCGTGGAACGCAGTATTGCAATAATTGAAAAGATGAAGCCATTCACAACAGAAGGAGAAATTCACGAGAAGCTCAAGCCCTCCAAGGTCACTGAAGACCTCGTTAACTTTGCATCTCTAATCACACACTTCTTTCTGGGCAAGCTGCCTCTGCGGCCAGGTACTCCTTAGCTCCGACTTCCCTGTATCTGCGCCCTCCTAAGCAATCCAAGCTGGGGAAGCCCCTGCTACTTGTGCCGTCAAGCAGTCAGGAAGCTGCTAGCACGTTGCTTTCAGCTGGAGGAGAAAAGGAGGGGAAAGGGACTCCCCTCCGTACGCGGAGCGGCGTGCTCGTTACGCACGCGCTAGCACAGCTGCCCTGCAGGTCTGCAGCACGGCCCCGATCGGCGGCTCTTCTCCTCTCCATCCCTGACGATTTACAAGAGGCCATAGAGGCGGCTCCTCCTGACTGCCCTGCGGGGACCACTTGGCCTGGATTAGCTGGCGTGCGCTCCGAACCCCCCAGCTCACAATGCGGCTACTTCAGTCAGGTCTTTGGGAGCTGGGAGCAGTTGGCCGTTGGCTCACAGGATGTCACAGGTGTTTCCCCACGGGCTGCCCAGCCTGCTCGCTGCAGGCGTTCCGGGCTGGGGCGTGACTGAACGAGCAGTCGAGGAGCAGTTAGGATGCTGTAATTGGAAACAGTTTCTTTAGTAGGTTGACTCAAATATTCTACGTTGCTGTTGTTCAAGTCTGTCTTCGTGGGTGGCTTTTTTTTCCCCTCCTTTACCCTCTCCTGCCCTCTCCTCCCTCTCTTTGGAACCCGCGTTCTGTAAAAGCGTCGCTGTGAACACACATACAGCCACGCCGCTGGCGCCCCTTGCAGGCCACTCCAGCACAGCCAACCTCTCTCTGCTCCGCAGATCCAGGACGATGCGACGGAAGAGAAGAGACGAGACCTGGAACGCAACGCCGAAGAGCCGTACGGTGAAAACGACGAAAACGTAAGCGCGGTGCGGACGCGTAGCTGTGACGGTGTCACGGCGACGGCCCGCAGTCCCCGCTGTAGCTTGCTTTAGGTCACAGACGTTAACATTTCATGCTGCCCCAACTTCCTTTTGCTTATCCTTCTACCCCCATGCCCAACTCCTGCTGCCTGGAGGCCTCGGGGATCTTTCCCCGCTCCGGCTGACTGCTCTCCTCCCTCTCGCTGCCCGCGGCTCGGCGGCTGCGCTGAGGCTGGTGTCTTTGTCGTTATCAGGCCAACGAGAAGAACGACAGAGGGGCAGAGGGAGAGCAGGAGGCGCGAGGAGAGAACGACCGCAAGGCAGCTCAGGACGAAAACTCTGAGGAGGAAGAGGAGGAGGAGGAGGAGGGAGGCAGAGCCGTTGCGGCAAAGACTCGCCGACGAGGGGAGATGTAGTCCTCGATTCTTAATTTTTGCCAGCACACAAATTCCTGTGTTTGTTTGGGTTTTTTTAAAGGTGACTTTTTTAGGCTATTTAATTTCAAGAACAATGTTTGTGTTTTACACTTTTTACTTTTCTATTAGCTGCTCCCGTACGTTTATATGAATTTTGATACTCTAGAGTAGCATTTCTTTTCTATTAAAGCTGTACACAAACAGCCATCATACAGGTTTGATTGTTTGGGATTCTGGACGTGTCTCTCGTGGCATACACCTGCCGGAGAGGTTCGGTCTCATTTCAGGTTCGTTCACCATCTGAGGGAACACCCCCGGTGCCTAATCCCAGCCGACACTGGTCACTCCAGCCCCTTGTCTTCCTCAGCCCCGCGGCTGTGACGGCCGGGCACGTGACCCGCCCGCGGCGCTCGCCAAG